TGATCTCCTTTCATAAATATAAATCCATTCAGACATGTGTGTGTGTGTGTGTGTGTGTATGTGTGGGTGTGTGTGTGTTACCTGCACGGCCAGGTCTTGTGTCTGAGGGCTGGTTACAGACACATACACACTGATGACAACGATGTGAGAAACACTGGTTCCGATGCCGAAGCTCAGAGCCCATGAGAGCGGGAGAGGAAGAACCGTATAAACAGACAGCGACAGGAAGAGGAAGAATGCGACCTGATGAAGAAAAACAACAACATTACAGCCGAAAATCAGCATTTCTCATATATACAGCAGAGTTATTATAGACAACTACAACTAACTTAACAACTTAACATTATCTGAAATAAAATGAAATTAAAAAAGTGTTTTTTTTCAGCTAGTTGCCTTGGCACCATTTCTAATATTAGTATAGTTTAGCTTGATATACTAAAATAACTAAAACTAGACCAAAACTGAATTTATTACTCTATAATCTTTGCACTCAAACCTTGTTCAAACCAGGCATGTTCATGATACATGCAAACTTAAATTATTGACTATTAAAAGTGTATTATTACAATTTTAATCAATTAAAATTCGGAATTGCAGAAGATTTCCTGCATGAGGATTAAGGACGTTTACAAATATTTTTTACTAGCAATTTTTACTGAAAATATTTTTGAGCTTGGCATAACCAGAAAAATGTATATCTTTAGGTTTTAGATTACATTTAAATAATTTACATGACTTTTCCAGGTCTAGAAAACACATCTAAAATACTGAAAATGAGGCTATTACATTTATCTTCAGGATCTGTGTATTTGCAGAAAGCATGTTTCTGATGAAAAAATAAAAATAAAAAAGTAAGTACTAGGTCTAAAATCAAGTGTACATCTAAACTAGTGGTGATCATCTGATCAGCTGACCTGCTCCCAGGCCGTGACGACACCTCCGGTGAAGATGAAGACGAAGGCGATGATGAGGAGCATGGACCAGATGAAGAGCGCCAGAGGCGTTTCTCCTCGCCGAGCCACCGGCAAACACGGCAAACACAGCAGCAGAGGCACGCAAACACACACCACCACACACACCACTGCAAATGCCGCCACGTGAACGCTCAGGCTCTGGATGTGTGAGAGAAACAAACACCTCACGTTTTCAAACGTTACACACACCTGCTGGAAAATCCAGCTGCAGCTAGTTTAAAGGAATCATTCAGGCCAAAAATGAAGATTTGCTGAAAATGAGCTCATTTCATCCCAGATCAGGATGAGTTTGTTTCTTCATCAGATTTGTAGAAATGTAGCACTGCATCAGTGTCTCAGCAATGGATGCTCTGCAGTGAATGGGTGCCGTCAGAATGAGAGTCCAAACAGCTGATAAAAGACATTTTTAACTAAAATACCATATTCATAATTCATAATAACGCTTCCTCCAGTGAAAAAGTGCATCTCCTGTTGTCTCTCACATCAAAATCACCCACATCCCACATTAGAGCTGTTTAAACGCTACTTGATCTGTGCAGATTTCTCTCCTGATTCAGACCAGAACACTTTTTCACTGGAGGAAGCGTTATTATGGATTATTTTAGCTGACTGTATGCGGTTCGGATCACATGACCTGATGGTTTCTTTCACACAGTCTGGGAATGTGATACTTGTGGATTATTGTGATGTTTTTATCAGCTGTTTGGACTCTCATTCTGACGGCACCCATTCACTGCAGAGCATCCATTGCTGAGACACTGATGCAGTGCTACATTTCTACAAACCTGATGAAGAAACAAACTCATCCTGATCTCACATGACCTGAGGGTGAGAATATTTTTTATTTTGGAGCTGAATTATCCCTATAGTGACCACCTTAATCAGGTAGGATCAGGTTTTTTGAGCAGGGATATACACAAAATTAGCATTTTTTGCAAACAGCAAGGTAAGTAACCAATAAGTGTGTCCATAACCATCAGTCAGCTCTTACCCTGCCCGTGGAGGGGATGATGATGATGATGGTCACGCAGAAGAGGATGGCTATTAGTAAACCAGACACCAGCAGCGGCGTTTCCTCCAGACAGCGCAGAAACGCCATGTTCACCGCACGGAAACAGCAGCACGCGCCTCTGCCGGACCTCCAGCGGGATTCACGCGGTTCATCATCCACTATGAACCTGCTGCGAGAGCTCTGAGAAACCTCAGTGGTGGCACTGGAAGTCCTGGAGGTCTCAGATAGCGTCGCCAAACTGCGTCTCCTGTCGACGGCATCAGGTTGAGTCCAGTGTGGGATGTTCTGAGAAGGAGTGCCATTGCTAAGTCCATTTATGGTGCGATTATTGCGTTCCTCATCAGGATTGGTAGCACTAGCGCTGAGGGATTCAATAAGATGGCTCTCGATCCTCAATGATGTACGTGGTTTCAGGGGTTTGGGGACGTTCCCGAGCTTGGCGACACCCAGCTCGATGTAAACCTTTGAGTTGTCCAACATGCTCACGCTTTTGGATCTTTGTTTGTGCTTCTTTTAACAATTTCTGTTCCTGCACAGTTTCAGCAAGACGCCATTGTGCAAAGTCAACATACGACCAATAAATAATGTCTGCTAAGGAGGGGTTAAAACTTCCATTGTGCAAACTGGATTAGATCAAGTCTGAGGCTTTGAGACCAGTTTCCAGTCGCTTCCAAAATGAATGTTTTCAGAGCTCCTCAAGCTCTTCAAGTCTCTTGAAGTAAATCCGCGTAGTGAAACTCCGTTCCTCTCGAAGCGTGTCAGATGTGTTAGCCGTTACTTGAAGGACACAATGGTAAAGAAGATCATTAAGTCAAGAGAAACATCTGAAATGCATCTGAAACTTCAAATCAATTAACAGTATAATGGGTTTTCATATATCAACTCAATAGAAGAACCATTTTTGACTCCACTGTAGCATCTGCTTAAAATCATGGATGATCATTGGGGTTTTATGTCTTAGAGACCCCTTTTAGCTTTTTGACATTTGCATATCAATTACAGACATGGCCCCACATTCTACATTAATATGGGTGCTAAATTGCCAATGGTTCCCCCCACTATCAAGGAGATGCTAAACAGTTTCACCACTCTCGTCTCCCCTTCGAACCGCAAACTACAACATGCTCACATAACACACACACAAAGAGACATTTTCTTTATTTAGACTATAATTAATCAGTTACAATTGTATCTGGTATATGCATGTGTTGTTTGTATGTTTCCCTATTATATTAGCCTAGTTACCACTCGTTATTTGTATTAGTTAAGCTCTAAACGCTCATATTCAGGTGTATGAATGTATCTCTGGTTTAATATCTTCTAGATGTTTCTTTCTTGGTATCAAAATGATCTGCTCTTTATTCCTCAAACAATGATGTACACTATGTGATCGTGAAATGCATCATACTATTTGTACTATATTTTGGGTAAAACTGCACCAATCCTCCAGACCGGCCATAAACATGCAAATGGGACATAAACAGAGACAAAGAAACTTCTCCCGCTCATAATTCATGCCTCTGATTGGCCATCCCAATCTTTCTTAGGAACGTTCAAAAGTCATTAGCTCAGACTAATCTTTGCTCAGAAACCTTGCTTCTTGAGACAGACACTATCCAAGACTCCTCAAAACTCTCCTCTTGAGTTTGATTTTCCGGCAGTTTTTATCTTCAAGTAACTTTGTCGATCCGCTGTGGACTTTCCTATCTTCAGAAGAACCAGGAAAACCTCCAGCTCACTTACAACTATTTAGATGCGGGTTTAAGTGTGAGCCCCTTTTTTAAGGTGATTTTTGATTCTTTGATGATTCTTATTAGGTTGTGGTTAATTGATGTGAAATACTGCCATTCTTTTGCTTTTCTCTCTCTCTCTCTTCCTTACTTTTCTTCATTCTGTATATACAGTATGTGTTTTGCTTAGTCTTGTTGTATGTTAGCTATAGTTTCATTTATTAAATCCCTTATATTCACAATTGATTGTCTCTGTGTGCTGCTCACAATTCATAGTCACTGAATGTTGATCTTGCTACATGCTAAATTACTGCTAGTGCTGCATAAAGTAGGAAAGCTATTGTTCCTTGGCCAGGAAAATAATCTTTCCTTGAATTGATAAATGATTATATTGTCTGCTTGGTGGACGGACAGATCAAATAATTGTAATATTGATTCTGCTACAGTTAATTCTAAGATCTAATCTAAATATTTATTATTAATTATAACCAGTTATAATTAATTATAAATATTTCCCTTTTGAGCTAATTTGCTACACCACAAAGAACCTTTCAGTGATCAGTTCTTAAAGAACCATTTTCCCCCAGTGTGAAGAATATTTTATTAAGCTGAAGAAACTTTTTCCACTGCAAAGAACCTTTTTCAATACTTTTAACAATAATGGTTCTTTACTGGCATTAATGGTTCCATCCATGGAAACTTTCAGTTTGAAAAAAGGCTATTTATAGTGGAAAAATGTTCTTTAGATTATTAAAATGTTCTTCAAACTTAGTTCACCAAAAAAAAAAAGAAAATTTGCTGAATGTTTAATCCAAGATTTAGATGAGTTTGTAGAAATGTAGCACTGCATCAGTGTCTCAGCAATGGATGCTCTGCAGTGAATGGGTGCCGTCAGAATGAGAGCCAAACAGCTGATTAAAGATATTTTTAACTTCCGGCATAATCCATAATAACTCTTCCTCCAGTGAAAAAGTGCATCTGCTGTTGTCTCTCACATCAAAACCCAGTCACATATGTGTTTAGAGCTGTTTAAACGCTGCTTGATCTGTGCAGATTTCTCTCCTGATTCACACCAGAACACTTTTTCACTGGAGGAAGTGTTATTATGGATTATGGACTCTATATATTTTAGTTTAAAGCGTCTTAATGCTGGATTAGTTTCAGCTTTTGTCTTCTCCATATGTTAACTGATGGACTGGAGTGCTGTGGATTACTTGTGGATTATTGTGATGTTTTTATCAGCTGTTTGGACTCTCATTCTGACGGCACCCATTCACTGCAGAGCATCCATTGCTGAGACACTGATGCAATGCTGCATTTCTCCAAATCTGATGAAGAAACAAACTCATCCTGATCTGGGATGACCTGAGGGTGAGCTCATTTTCAATTTTGCGTAATATATTCCTTTAAAACCTGTTCACTGAAAGGTATTTGGGGAACCAAAAACACACACAGACAAAACATGCAAATGCACGAATTTTCCTAAAGCACTGAGACGCAAAGTTCAATATTCAACCGCTAACAACAACCTCCATCTTATTCTTTAATATTTTGAGATTTAAAAAACAACAAACAAGACACAAAGACGTTCAAAAAAGAACAGAACAAGAACAATTGTGACAGCAGGGATATTTATAGAGCGTCTACCTACAAAACAAACGAGCACAAGCCTACTTATGTCACGTACAAGGTGAAGTTAGGTGAACAGGATGAACTGGATACAGAGAATATTTCTGACACACACACACACACACACACACACACACACACACACACACACACACACACACACACACACACACA